TGCCATTGTAGCTTGAAAGCAGATATTGGCAGAATGTAAACAAATGAGTATGGTTGTGTTTTAATAAAAATTTATTTACAAAAACTAGGCATAGGTTGAATTTGGTTCACAGGCTGTATCTTGCTGACCTCTGTTATACAACATTTATAGAAAATTGTTTCACAATATTTCTACAAATATTATTCCTACTAGTATAATCATGAAAACATTCTAAAATTTCTTTGCAGTTCCTTCATTATTTAAGATATCTTCTGAGGGATAAAACATGTCTATATTTTAAAGTGACTTGAAAAAAATTTTTTCATGTAGTTATGCTACCAATTTGATATACTAAGTTCATTAATTTAATTTTGCATTGATGTTTGGGGAATACTTTTTATTTAATTTTATTTTATAATTATGTAAAAACGGTTCTAAAATCAGATCTTTAAAAATGGTACATTCAATGAGGTCTAGCTTCAATCTCTGTTTTCTCCTTATTGTTCTCCTTTCCTCCTCCTTGAGGTTGTGACTTTTGGTTTATAATTCATTTATAGAAAAAATATATAACTAAATATGCATATATATTCATCTATACCCCTGTTTTAGTAGCATACTAAACACATTGTTTGGCAACTTGATTTTTTTTTTTAATGCAATATACCCTGGGGATCACTCTGTAGCAGGATATAGAAAGAGCAGAAGGCTTTTTAACATTATGATAATGTATACAACAGTGGAATAAACATGAAAACTTAGTGGACATGAATACTTTTCTAGAAAAAATACAAATGACTAAAAATTACATACTAAATAAATGAATTTAAATACTCCAGTAGCCATAAAGAGAAAACTCAAACAAGTCAAAAATATAACTCCTGAAAGGAAGCAGTAATTTTTATTTATGAGTTCTATGAAAACTTCAAAAACATATAATTTCCGAAAACTTATTCTAACATAAAAATATGTGCTATTCCAAGTAAATTCTTCATTTGGTAACAAAATTTAAATTCTTTCACATATTGTCACATATAAAATAATTATTCATTGTTCTGACTTATATAAGACAGATTATGAAATTAAGAACTGATTAAAATTTATATCAATATAAATGAGATAAATTATCTAATATACTTCCTTATCTTGAAAGTTACTTTTTCCTCAAATCTACAAAATATGAAACTTCTGAAACATTAACACACTATCAGAAAAAATATTTTATTCCTAATTCTTAAAACTTCTCATTGATCAGATTTGTCCTATGAAAAGAAATGTTATTTTTAAATAAGTAGAAAAAAATTTATATCAACATTTTATTTTATCTTTAGTTGAAATAGAGCAGCATGAACTTGAATGTTCTGAAAGCAATTTTGGACAAGGCTTAAAAAACTTGGAAAGCTGTAGATTATGAATTTAAATTTTCAATTATCAATTGCTTTGAACTAAGTAAAATATTACAGCAGGGAGGGCTAGAACATGGTAATCTTAAATAGGTATAAGCTGTTGCATGTCTTTGTAAGTGTTTCTGTATCTCATACAAACCTATCAATCCCCAGAAATATTACAAAAATTAGAAAAAGTTAAAACAACATTAATATGTTATAATAGTTATACTTATCTGTCAATGACTGATCCAAAATATGATTTAAATAGATGAAAATCTATTCCAGATTCTTTTTAGTTTTAAATACTTTTTGTTGTAAATTTACATATTCATTCCAGTAGTACATTCAAAAGTCATTTGTGAAAGGTAATGAGAACCCAGGAAGAGCAAGATTTTTATTTTAGATCTCAGATGATACAGACAGGATATGTGTAAATTTTTAAACCTGGATCATGGCCAAAGACTATCAGTGTTTGTCATCTTTTGTTCAGTGGAAGCCAATTTCACTTAATAGTGCTAAATGATGGCACTAATATAAGTCAATTTGGCAAATGGTAATTTATAAAATTGTCATTGAGAATGACAGAAACTAAGTGGTTTGTTCTTCTGCATATTTTTCTGAAAACATGCTTCCACATTAGTAACACTTTTATAATAAAACCATCCACCAACTAGGTAACCCTGGTTGGGTGGCATAAAGGTTGGGATTTATTAATATGACACGTTTAAAATCTATTGCCATCTATGTTGTCCATTTAGATTTGTTATATGCCATTTTAATCTTATACAATAAGTCTCCAAAAAGAGACCAACAAAACAAAAAAGGACTCTACTACAACTTAACAGTGTCTCCTTGTGCCTTGTGCCTCCCAGACACGATTCTAAACAACTAAGCATGTGGTAACACAGTCTGCTAGTATGTGAGAACCTTGATGGCTGGGCACCAGGGGTAGTTTTATAGGGCTTAAAGCTTATACAATTTGAGGAATACTTCTTAAGAACAAGAATTTAAAGTTTCAAATACAAAATTAGGTACTGGAAAGAACACGTACAACTAAGAGGCAATGAAGTTTAAGCTTCATTAACTTTGTGGTAAATTCACCTCTGCATCTGACATGTAATAAACATTCCATATTTATGGAATCAGTATACGTCTGTATCTTAATCAGGTGTTCATTTATGTCGCTCAGAAATGGTTGGTAATTTCTTCTTAAATGTATTGCATGTCTTTTGCTTATTTTCAGTGAAGAATATACAAATTTTGCCAGAAAAGAGAAAATAGAAAAAAAAAGCCACCTAATTTATTTTAGAAGTCCAGTGTGCTATCCATTGTTCGACAGAGCCACCTGCCACCTAACTTATTTTATAAGGCTAGTATAACTTTAATAGCAATACTTATAACTGCTTACAAGCCCTTGACTGCTGTCATCACCAGTCTTGGACATACATTGTCATATCATTTCCTTAGGAAGATTTGCCAAAAGCATATATGCAAATTTTAAATTCTTATATATTGTTAAAATATGGAATCAGCAAACTTTTTCTGTAAAAGGCCAGATAGCAAATATTACAGGCTTGTGGGCCAAGAAGCAAAATTGATGTTATTATATAGGTATTTGTATATAACGAGAGAAAATAAATTTCATAAATCTTTATTGATGAAATTAAAAATATAATAATAGAGTGCAATTTTCATAATACAGGTCTACAAATGTGAATAATAGAATTCTTTTGGGGGGATAACATTTCACTTAATTAGGGTTGAAGTTGGTGTTCCTTATCATCAAAATCTATTGCAAATGTTCATCTGTTAATGCTGATCAAGATGAAATTTTACATATTTCACCTTTGCAAATTTCTTTCCTCATAGATAGGTACTGCCAAATGTTGGTATCAATCCATGAGCATATGGTTTTAATTGAGCATATTCACCGATTGGAAGGCATTTTTAGAATTCTATTAGCTAAAAGACTAGAATGCGTTTACCATGTCATTACATTGCAAATTAATCACTTCCATTTAAAGTTTCTCAGTTGCACAGTTAAATAGACTTTGGAATACGGAAATTTCCTTTGCACTTGGATCAAGGTTGAAAAACGCTGCTGTGAACTGAAATTGGAAAATATATCGCTGGGAATTTGTGTAGGAATGGAGATCTCACTTTTTCTTTTTAAATTTTTGACAGTGCAGGAAGTGTATAACACAGCTTGACATTACTTGCAAGTCAAACAATGTTAGTTCTCATTGAAATAACTTTATCACGGTATAAGTTTCACAAAAAAGTACTGTTTTGCCTTGCAGTTTTATGTTGAAACATTTTCAAGTCTGCATCATAAACTAATTCCAAAGCCATTCAGAGTTGAATAAGAGCACAGTTCTTCTAACCATTTAAAAATGTAAACACCATTCTTAAGGACTGTACAAAAGGCAGGCTATATTTGACACACAGTCCATAGTTTACTGAACCTTGCTCTATAAAGTCTTATGTTCCCAATAAATTTAAGTGCCTGTTTCCCCCAAACTATGCAACCAGTAAGTATTATTAACTTTAAAAAACTTATACAATTTGAAGTTACATTTTTTCAATTTGCACTTATTTGAATATTAATAAAGTGAAATATCTTTTCATGATTATAGGCCACTTATATTTCTTCATTGTAAACTGGCTGTTCATATCCTTTTCCATTTTTATAGCAATAAAATTTCTATTCCAACAATCATTCTATGTACCAAAACGAGTTCTAAGTCCTTTTTAATGGCTCTACCTGCTTGTTTCGTATTTTCCACTTACACATCCAACATTCCTTCTATATTGAAAGACTTGCCATTGCCTGACAGAACTGTGTTTTCTCAAGCTTCTCTACATATTTGCACCAGATATCATTCATTCTCTGTCACCTTTTCTCCATTTTCCCCTCCTAGTATAAGTCTTATTTATCCTTCAAGAACTCAGATCAGGGATCAGTTCCTCCTCTTTGGCTCCATAGCACTCTGTGCAAATATCTGCCATAAAACCTATCACGTTATTCTGTAATTAACTGTTGTTTACAATGGTCTATCTGCCCACTGGGCTCAAAGCTTCTTGAGTCATGGTATTGTAATTGATCTCTATACTCCAGAACAGTGCTTGGCACTTAGTAGGCACTGATTATTTGTTAACTGAATGAGTTCAAAATAATACTAGTAGTAAAAATATTAACAAAGTAATATGTGCCAGACACATAAATATCAGAGACAAATTTGTGCAGTGGCATTCCTTGTAAAATGCTTAGCATAATATAATATACAGTTGAATTTTGAAGAAGCTCTCTCAGATATTAAAGTCTCACCAAAGAAAATATCAATTAAGGCTTTTATTCCCTGACAAAACTATGTCAAACATTTCATTTAAAAACTTCTTTTTTCCCTAAAGACTTAATTTATTTAAATAATTGCTGTTAGTTATAGCTATGGTCTCCAATTCAAGAAAATTTGCTTGTATTGGAAAAGAAAACAGAAAATTAAAATATGAAAAAGAATATTCATCGGCCACGTCTGTTTTGTAATCTGAACAATAAGTTCCTTCTTTCAAAATCTGCTTTGTACCTTGACCAAGATTCATTTTGGATTAATCTTTTATTTTCCTTTCTTTCCAAAGGACATCTATTACCTTGCACTAGATAAGGGTGAACTGGCACTAGCTGAAGTGGCAAGAAAAAGAGCTAGCGACATTGATGCAGAATCAATAACCTCTGAAGTTGGTAAGAATTAATGCTGGTTTTTTTTAAGTGCTTTTTGTTTTAATCAATACTTACTGAGTATCATTTCTATTTATGTTTGTAGGACACGGTTGGCTAATTTGAATTACTTTCTTTGTAAAGACAGTGTCTTTAAAAAAAGAAGAAGAATTAAGCCTGGGTAAATAGTATAATATGGATATGTAAGTTGAAATTGTGTTAATATGAAACTTGATAATCACTGATTAATCACCATTTAGCAAAAAGTAAAAAAGGACATTGTTCTTTTCGTCAGATTTTGAGGAAAAGAATTTATTATCATCAGTGCTGTTACTAAAATTAACCAACACGGGAGTTTATATAATCCTTTATTTATACACATAGACATGTCACATCTCAAAAGAATTCTCTCGTATATCCAAGTACTTCACATGGGATTTTAGGTTTGACGGGTGATTTGTTTTCATTTAGAAGCCACTAGAGTCATTTTACAGTGTAGTCTTCCAAAGAAGACAAATCAGAAGCCTAAATTGAATGTAAGGTCCATTCAAAACTTTATAATATAGAAAAATGATAGTTTTTTAAAACTATTAGAATATCAACATGAGCTTCTTTTTTCTAAACTCAGTTTATCTAATGTGACTAAATCTGGAAGTATTGATCTCTGGACATCCCAATTCCTATTCCTTCTCATATTTCCTATTCTAGATGAGGCAAAGGACCCTCAGAATTGTAATAGAATTCATTTCTTTGTAGAACTCCTATGAAACAAAGAAGTTTTAATAAGATTTCCACTTTGTAAGTTGCTTGAAAATATTATAACAAACCCCTCCATTGATAGATTATCTTGTGCTTTGTTTTTGTAATGCTGTTTATAGCCAAAGGGAGCAGCTGTCAGCTTCTCTCTAACATCACCCACCAGAGATCCCAATCTTCAAGGTGGTACTGAAGAAAACTCAAAGCCATACCACCAGGATAGCTCTCAACCTGAATACCAAAGCTGACAATTACTTACCAGAAAGATAATTCTGTTCTCCTTCCCCAACCCTGAAAGAATTCCAAATTGATCAAACCCAAAAGATGCACAGACCACTTTCAAATCTCCATTCCTAATGGAAAAGGAATACTCGCTGTTAATACGATACTACATAAGAATAACTTCAGTTGACTTACTATATCTTGTTACTTGCTAAGGATAATGATGAGCCTCCTAAGAGCAATAATAGCTAATATTTATTGAATGCTTACTGTGGGCCAGATATTATTCTAAGTTACAGATGTTAACTAATTTAATCATCACCACAACTCTGTGAGGTAAGTACAATTTATATTTATTATGAGAAGTTACTTTTAACTAAATGATGAAACCATACCATCTTAGTAGGAATTATGATGTTATATGATGGGGATACAAATATTCTCCATCCTTATTCCTCTAGCCATTTAGGAAAACACAGAAGGAGGTTAATTAATAGCAAATTTTATGAGAATTTTCCTTAGTTTTCATGTACTCGGCCTTTTCCATGAGGATATCAGATATAATAGAGGCCATCTTTGCATTTTAAAGCTATTTAAAGTTACTAAGGGTGAAAAGGAATGTGAAGAGATTACCATGAAATTTCAGAAAAATGAAGAAACTCCCCTATTCACCAAAATGTGTCCTGTGCCCTGTGGATTCTTTGATCAGGTTACTGAGGCCAACTGATAATTCCTAGCCAGACAGCTTGGTGTTCCCCCCTTGGAGCGCTGCCTCATTTCTAGCAAATATCTTTTCTTCACTGAAACTGTGTTACTCCCCATTTTTCAGCCTTTTTTTCAGGCCTTATGCTTTGACTTCAATTACTATCCCTTGACAAAGACACCATTCAATAACAACAGGAACTATCAAGAGGTGAACATCTTAGATGAAGTTCTACTCCACTTTTGTTCCAGAAAACTCAGGTGACTCCCACCCACAATTCCAAATGGAATTAGGAAAGAGTCTGTTTCCTCATCATAGACTCTGCCTAGTTCTTCCTTAGAGCCCACATCATGCTGGGGAAAGCTAATTTTTTCTCAGATTCCCTCAATTTAATTCAACTGTTCTCTCAAACTTTTCCCAAAGCAGAAAGTAATTAAGTTTTTGGCTTTCAAAGGGGTTCTTTGATGTAAGCAAGAGGGCAAATTATGTAAGGTATCAAAAGAGTATTTTTAAGTAGTAGCAGTTCCATTTACATGGGAGAGTCTGTAAAAAAGCATCACACATAGTAGCTGTCAACATAGTTAAAAGCAAGAGTTGCCAAAGGAGAAGTTGAATAATGATAATCTGGACAATTTAGTAATTTTTTTTTTTGGTGAAGAAGATCAGCCCTGAGCTAACATCCGTTGCCAATCTTTCTCTTTTTGCTGAGGAAGATTAGCCCTGAGCTAACATCTGTGCCCTTCTTCCTCTATTTTGTATATGGGATGCCACCATGGCATGGCTTAATGAGCGGTGCGTAGTTCTGCACCTGGGATCCAAACCTGCAAACCCTGGCCCAGCAAACCAGAGCACGCAAACTAAACCACTACGCCACGGGGCCAGCCCCAGATTTGGTAATTTTTATTGAAGTATAACATACATATAGAGAAGTATAACATACATACATAAATGTATGACTCAGTGAATTTTTACAAAATGAACACATCCTTGAAACCAGTATCCAGACCAAGTAACATACATTACCAGGACCCCAGAAGCCCTCTCATACTGCCTGCAAGATACTATACCCCCAGCCCAACTATCCTTACTATAACACCACAGGTGAGTTTTGCCTTTTTTCAAACTTTAAAGAAGTGGAATCACACATATATTCTTTTATATTTGGCTCCTTTTAGTCAACATTATGAGTGTGAGATTCTTTCATAATGTTGCATGCAATATAATTCTTTCATTCTTATTGCTGTATAATAGTATTCCAATATATGAACATAGTACAATTTTATTCATTCTACTTTTGATGGATATTTGGTTTAAGTTTGGGGCTATTGTGAATAATGTTGCTATGAACCTTCTTGTGTATGTCTTTGAATGGACATATGTACACAGATCTGTTGGGTATGTGGTTAGAAGTGGAATTGCTGGGACATAGGATATATGCATGTGTTCAACTTTAGTAGCTACTTCCAGTTTTCTGAAGTAATTGTAACAGTTTACCTTCTCAACAGCAGTGCATAAGAGTTCTTTGCTCCATCCTGAATGATGCATGGTATTGCCTGTCTTTTTCATTTTAGCCACTCTGATGGCGAAGACATGGTAATTTTGTATATGCGACAGTATATATATAAACTGTTTCTGGACTCTTTATTCCATTGGTGTGTTTGTCTGTACTTGTACAAATATCTCACTGTTTTGAGGAACTCTGGCTTTAAGTCTTAATATCTCATAGTGCAAGTTGTCCAGCTTTGTTCTTCTTTAAGATGGCCATAGGTATTCCTGGCCATTTACTTTTCCATATAAATTTCAAAGTCAGATTGCACCCTCCCCCAAGAAAAAAAGGGAGGGGGCTGAAATTCTGGTTGGAATTGCATTAAATCCATAGATAAATATAGGCAGAATTGATTTCTTTATAATATTGAGTTTTCCAACCCATGAATATGATATATCCCTCCATTTATATAGGTGTTCTATATTTTTCTCAAAAATGTTTTATACTTTTCACTGTAGTGGTCTTGCACATCTTTCCTTAGATTTATTTTTTTCCTCCACTGAAAAAGAATTTTAATTTAATTATGTTACATCCATTCAATAGAATACTATACTGAAGCTTTACATGATATGAAAGAATGGCATGTACCGATATTTGTATAGAAAAATATATACTCACGCACAAATATCCTGAAAATAGGGAAGGATATACACCTTACTGTTATCAATGGTTATCTCTGAAAGATGGAACTTTTCATTTTCTACTTTTTACACTTCTTCATTGAGTGAACTCACATAATGGGCATATATCATATGGGTATTGGGGTTTTTTTATTGAGATAATTGACATTTAACATTATGTTAGTTTCAGGTACAACATAATTACTTGATATCTATATATATTGCAAAATGATTGCAACAATGTCTACTTAACATGCATCACCACACATAGTTACAAATTCTTTTTCTTGTGATGAGAACTCTTACAATTTACACTCTTACCAACCTTCACATATACAATACAGTTATATTAAATATAATCACCATGCTGTACATTATATCCCCAGAACTCATTCATTTTATAACTGGATGCTTGTACCCTTGACCTCATTCACTCATTTCAACCACCCCCAACCTTTGGCAACCACCAATCTGTTCTCTGTATCTATGAGTTCATTTTTTTTCTTAAAATTCCACATATAAGTGAAATCATACAGTATTTGTCTTTTTCTGCCTCACCTACCTCACCCAGCACAATGCCCTCAAAGTACTATCCATGTTGTAGAAAATGGCAAGATCTCCTTCATTTTATGGCTGAATAACAGTATATTCCACATTTTCTTTATCCATTCATCCATCGATGGACACTTAGGTTGCTTCCATGTCTTGGTTATTGTAAATAATGCTGCAGTGAACAAGGGGGTGCATATATCTTTTCAATGGTGTTTTCGTTTCCTTCAGATAAATACCCAGAAGTGGATTTGCTGGATCATTTGGTAGTTCTGTTTTTCATTTTCATACTGTTTTCCATAGTGGCTGCACCAATTTACATCCCCACCAACAGTGCACAAGGGTTTCCTTTTCTCCACATCCTCTCTAACACTTATTTCTTGTCTTTCTGATCATAGCCATTCTCACAGGTGTGAGGTGATCTCATTGTGGTTTTGATTTGCATTTCCCTGATGGTTAGTGATTGTAGAGCACCTTTTCATGTACCTGTTGGCCATCTATATGTCTTCTTTGGAAAAATGTCTATTCAGGTTTTCTGCTAATATTTTATTGATTGTTCAATTGTTTTGTTATTGAGGTCTATGTGTCCTTGTATATTTTGGATATTAACCCCTTATCAGTTATATGGTTTGCAAATAATTTTTCCCATTCTGTAGATTGCCTTTTCATTCTTTTGATTGTTTCTTTTGGTGTGCAGAAGCTTTTTTAGTTTGATGTAGTCCCACTTATTTATTTTTGCCTTCATTGCTTGTGCTTTTGGTGTCATTTTGAAATAATCACTGCCAACACCAAAGTCAAGGAGCTTTTGTTTTCTTTTAAGAGTTTTACGGTTTCGGTTCTTATGTTTAGTCTTTAATCCACTTTGACTTAATTTTTGTGTTAAAAATGTGTTAAAATACATTTTAACAATACTAATTCTTCCAATCCATGAGGACAGTATATCTTTCCATTTATTTGCATCTTCTTCAATTTCTGTCATCAAAGTCTTACAGTTTTCAGCATACAGATCTTTCACCTCCGTGGTTAAATTTATTTTGAGATATTCTATTCTTTTTGATGCAATTGTAAATGGGATTGTTTTATTAATTTCTCTAATAATTCATTACTAGTAAATAGAAATGCAACAGATTTTTACATATTGATTTCGTATCCTCCAACTTTACTGAATTCTTTTATTAGTTCTAAAATTTTTTTGGTGGAGTCTTAAGGGTTTTCTATATATAATATTATGTCAGCTGCAAAAAGAGAGAGTTTTACTTCTTCCTTTCTGATTTGGATGCCTTTTATTTCTTTTTCTTACCTAATTGCTCTGGGTAGGATCTCCAATACTATATCGAATCAAAGTGGCCAGGGTTAAATGAGCTTCACTGGTGGTGCACTAGTGGTGGTATAATCCTAATAAATGTATTAGGTATGGAATAGTCTAGGCTGCTGTAACAAGAGACCACAGTGAAGTAACAAAGAAAGAATTTTATTTCTTTCTCATATAACAATCCTGGGAGGTGTTCCAGGACTACTAAAGTATTCTGGTATCAGATTACCAGACTTCTTCTATGGTATTGCTTTGTCATCTCTAGGGTATAGCCTTCGTCTGCATCTTTGAAGATCTGCATCCCTGCCTACAAGAAAGAGGAAAAAGAAGAAGGAAGGCATACTCTTTTCTTGTTCAGGGTACAACCCAGTAGTTGTCACACATCACTTCTGCTCATATCCCATTGGACAGAACCTGGTCATAAGGCTACATCTAACTGTAAGAAAGTCTGGGAAATATCTTTAGTGGGGTGACCATAACTCAGCAAAACACCTGTAACTATAAAAGCAATAGCCACTTAGGGGGACAGCTAGCATTTCATCTGTTACAATGAGATCTGAGGAATAGTATTTAGAAGAAGAAAATAAGAAAAATGGGGAAACAACTTCCTTTATATAATCCTCACATGCAAATAAATGGAAATATTTTTAAACCCTATTCAAATACAATTCCGAGCTGCACTTAATATGCAAATACGTCAACAGCCACATTAAGAAATTTTTCCCAATGTATTATATTTCCAAATACTCTTACCATATATGATCTTTCAAATACTATGTTATAAAAAGGCTGTAGCTTTATAAGTTGCCATCTCCTTTTAAAATATATTTTAAAATTCTGATAGAAAAGCTTGTTTGTGTTTAATGGAGAACTTTAGAGAATTCAATATTTTTAAAATACAGTATAAAGATGATAAAGATTACTCAATATATTATTACCCAGAGATAATTGATAATATTAGTCTGTTTCCTCTTCTTGCTATGTATATATTTAGCAAAATTTGAATCATTTATTTATCATCCTTTTTGTTACCCAATGGTATGTTGTGACTTTCCCATGTCATTAAAAATCATTCAAAAGCCCAATTTTTAATGTTATCTTCTTCCTAAATGCCTTTTTGTTTTTACTATAAAATCATGGTACCACTGTAAAAATGTATAAAATTATATCCAGTAGATGATACATGGATGAAGGTAAAGATTTGCTCTTATACTTAAAATATCTCATTATTAATAGAGAATTCTTCTAAAATTAAGCTACAAAAGAGGTTTTTAATTCTGCCATTTAAAATTGTGGTTAACTGTTTCCTACAGTGTGCTTGAGAGGCTACATTATATTACTCATTCGCCTTAGGAGCTGTATTCACGCCAACCTGCTTTTGGCCCCGCCTCATCTGTGTTCTCTTTATTGTGTCCTGGTGTCAGTTTTGATCCATACCTTCCTACCTCTAGGCATGTAGCCTAGAGACATTACCCTAAACCTTTCGTAACTATAAGCACATCAAAGACTAACTGCTTTGCTTAGCTGCAGAGGTCTATACAAGACTGTATTATGTGTATAACTTAAAAGAGATTTATAGTTTTCAGTAAAGTTCCTAAGAATACACAATTA